CCACATTTTTTTCTTCTCATTTAAATGACAAGAACCACCTCAAAAATAAATGCATATTACTACTACCTTCATTCTTAAAAACATTTCATTCATGAATCAAGTCATGAAAGAGAACAGACTCTACGAGCAGATAAAAACATATGTTCATGTGTACACTGTACGGATATGATAAGATTAAAACCAAAGCGGGAGCCTGGGAAACGCTCCAGTGCCAAATTAAACATTTTCCAGTAACAGATGCAGTCAAAATTGAAAGTCCTCTTTAACTTGTTATTTCGTGCGCCTTCAATCTTGTGGGATACTGTGCAACGCCTCTGACGCGAAATAGTTGCTTAAAGCGTTCCGGCGCGGCAGGCAATCAGCGTGACACGCGCATAAGCGCCTACAAACCTAACGGGATACCTCACGCGTTGTGCAGTGCGTGAAGTATCCCGTTAGGTTTGTAGGCGCCAGTGCGCGTTCTGCGCTGCTAACATGTCGCTCCACTCTGTGTTAGGCTGTAATATTTCAACTCGCGGAGTCAGCGTTTTTCAACTCATGATTTTGAAATGTTTGCACTCTCTGCATTGATTATTCCCTCTTAAACTGATGAAAAATAAAAATGTACTACCGGAAAATATAATGTGTTTTTTGTAAATATACTAGTGGTTCCGTGTCAAATTTAATGATTTCCAAAGCATTCAAATTTATTATTTTATGATTTGGGCTTTTACTGTGCTGCAGCGTGGTGTAAGCGCAACCAAACGCTCAAAATTGGACGTATTTTACTCAAGGAGGTCGATGTACAAATAAGTTAAACACAAAAAATTGCGTGCTTCTTCGTTTTTTTCTTCTTTTATTAATGTTTGTATAGTTTCTTTCATCACAACTACGGCTCATTGAGATTCATATCGATGCCATTGCTTGGAGAAGGTTTTACAAATATTTACCACGTTTTAAAAATGTAAATGTTTTTAAAATGAAGTAATCAATTTCATTAAAAAAAAAAGAATGTACATTTGCGGCATATTTTACATCGGAAATTTCAAGGATAGAAATGAAGCCAAGTATTTACCAAAGACAATTTGAAAAGATGAATCAAAAGAAGAAATAAACATTTCATTTAAAATATGAGTTACGATAACAACACCTCATTCTGCTCTCTTAATTTTCTCATTTCGACATTGTCAATATAATTTTACACACGGACTAAAATATGACGCTTGAATTTGATTTTAGTGGACTTTACATTTGTGGACTTAACTTAGTGGACGTTTAAGTAATGGACTTAACAATAGTGTGGGCTTTAGAACTGTGGACGTAAAAATTGTGGACGAAAAGTCTGTGGACGTAAAAAAAGTGGACATAAAGTCCGTGTACCATTGAGAGGGGAACATTGTTGGGACAGCTTCCGATTAATAGCCGCACAGTAGATCGAGCCAGTCAGAGAGGTCGGACATAAAATTTTTGATTAAAACTGCAAATTTTGATGTTTATTTCGTCGCTTGTTAAATTTTAAGGGTTGTCTTCACAAGAAAATTTTATCAGAAAATAAGCATAACCAATTTTGAAATCCTTAAGTTTATAGGAAGGGAGTTATAAGCGTTTAAAGTCTCCAAATTTTCCCGACTTCTCCTATTGACTCGATCCACTGTGAGCCAATCAAACACGAATGCAAGGTAGTGACCAAGCTTTTTTCAAATGGACATCAACATGATAAGTTTCTATTTGCTGAGTGGTTCTTAATCTGGGACCCGACTGCCGATTCTAACATTTGAACCCCTCAAAGTATGTGTATTTAAATTTTCTCCTGCAGCGCTGAGAAAACGAAAACAATGATTTCCAAGCCAGAGAACGCTCTTTAAAATAGAAATCATGATTTAAATTCAGCCAAAAGGAACCTCAAAAAGGAAGACAAACATGACACGAGATAGTTATTTCCCATAGCCTAGGAGGGATACACGGAAAAAACAAGACTAGTGTTGAGCAGTACTGGCCGTTTAGTGGGGAGTAGTTGAGGGCTGGCGTCTAAGCGCTGTATGTACAGCTCAACGCCGGAAGGCAGTACAGGTGGGCACTGAACATGAGTAGTGCTAATCAGATGCCGAGAGACGTAGTTGCGCTTAACAGGTGTAAATTCACCCTCGAGACGTCCGAGCCTCGATAGCCTGGTGGTACCGCGCTGGTCTTCCACCGGCGCGACCCGAGTTCGATCCCAGGCCGAGGCATTTCATATTTTACGCTCGCTCCAAAGTCACTTTAGGGCTTGACACTACTTCTTCCTTAGTGACCCAGCCTCGAGCTGTTTAGTGCCCAGCACTCCTCTGACTTGCTGGCTCCATTTGATCTAACCCTCGTTAGTGCCCAGCACTAACATGTAGGTCCCAACCCTAAGCTCGTTTTTTCCGTGTACTGATGCACTATTTGTTGCAAAGAACACCTAACCGATAAATGGATTGCATTTTGCAAAAAGGAACCACTAGCACTGCAATGTTGCTAAGATTCTGCAACTTCTTTTGTCTTGGAGGAAAACCCCGATTATCCCCTTAATAGTTTCTATTTTACTCGCTAAAAACTGTAAATTTAAGACAAAATTACCATCTAAATTTCATAGTTTTTCACAATTTCCGCAATTTTATTGCAAAGGATGAAGTTGCACAATCTTAGCATCATTGCAATGCTAGTGGTTCCTTTTTGCAAAATGCAATCCAAATAATCCAAACCACTAATGTCAGACTGTAACGTCATGTCGATTGCATTTTGCAAAAAGGAACCACGAGCATTCCAATGTTGCTAGGATTGTAAAACTTAAATTCTTTGCAAATATTACTGAAAACATGAAAAAATTAAATTTACAAAGGTAAAATTCGTCTTGAATTCGTAGTTTATTAGGAGTTAAGATAAACAATCCTAGCGATATTGGAATGCTCCTGGTTCCTTTTTGCAAAATGAAATTCGTGTATGCTTCCTATCATACCTCATGATCAATGGATAACTGGATTGCATTTTGCAAAAAGGAACCACTAGCATTGCAATGATGCTAAGATTGTGCAACTTCATCCTTTGCAATAAAATTGCGAAAATCGTGAAAAACTATGAAATTTAGATGGTAATTTTTTTTATTAAATTTACAGTTTTTAGTGAGTAAAATAGAAACTATTAAGGGATAATCGGGTTTTTCCTCCAAGACAAAAGAAGTTGCACAATTTTAGCAACATTGCAATGCTAGTGGTTCCTTTTTGCATAATGCAATCCAACTATTCGACGTTGTTTCCTGAAAGCTTTCGTGATTTTTCATCTCTGTGTGAGGAATTTGCTTTAACAATTCTGAGGAATGATGTTTATTTGCTTTCTAGTTAGTAGAGGAAATAGGAAGGAGGACTTGAAACACTACGTTCTAGGAACACGGCTTTGGGAACTGTCGGTATTTATCTCTGAATTCTATCATCATTCTGTGAAACTTATAGATCACCCCTCATCATGGGGAGACTATTATTATATATAGTGAGAGGTGGTACAGAAGGACACCTCATCAAACAGAGGGTTCTTTGAACAGTGGGTAGCCAAAACTATTTCATGGAAGGGGTAGAAGCACAGTCAAACATTTCTCATTACGGAAGGGTCCAAAGGACATTCATTTTTAAAAATCATGAGAAATGACGTTTGTTCGGGAAAAATTTCCGGCTATGGGGAGTCTGGACCCCCTGCATCCCCCTGGCTACCCCACTGTTTAGGAGGCTTCGGAACATACCGCACCAAGGGAGGCTTGGATTTGACGAAAATTTTGAAAAGTTTCAAAACATTTTCAAACAAAATTTTAAAATTGAGAAGTCTCAGTGGCAATCTCGGATTTTTCTAACCAATGAAAGGTAAAACATACAAAATAAAATGATACAATTGTCACGAGGTATTTCGCAAAATATCTAACATTTTTTGGAGGGAAAAATGTATTTATTTATTTTTTTCTTAGAGGGGGGGGTTGAGGGGTAGTCGCCCACCAAAGATTACACCACAGTCATAACTGATTATGGCGCCAGCCAAGAGATAATGTTGAATCAATCATTTATAACGCTGGGAAAGGCCTACAATTTTGAAGTTATCGCTGTGCAGGAACATGACTAATCCAACCGGGTCATTTCATGTCAAATTAGACCAAAACTTGGTGTTTTTAATCCGACCCCTTCAGAATTGAATGAAATTTGGCACATTTCTCTGTTCACTGAGCTGAGTTGAAAAATATAAATTTTAATTTTTTTTTATGCCACATTCAACTTTTGCTGAGCTTTAAAGTTCGGGCAAGTTGACAGGCATCAGCACCTTCGAGAGTCTGTAACTTTAAAACGGTTCATCTGAGCTAAACTGTTCCAGTATCAATGAAAAGCTCATTAAATGCACTTAATTCCTATGAATAACACAGTTTGATACAACTCCAAGTTTTTTGTTAACAAATTGTGAAGTGGAAAATTGAAATATCTCGAATAGGGGTAAATCAAATCGTACGAAATTTTGACCGGAGGTCGGCCATACCGCGAAGAATTCGGCACCGCATTTCTTGGCTGGCGCCAAAATCAGCTGTGAATGTGGTGAAATTGGATTCCATTTTGAAAAAGGAGCCAAGAGCATTCCAATGTTGCTAGGATTCAGATTTTCAGATTGCAGATTAGAATTCAGTTTTTGCATGTATTCTTTGCAACAAAATTACTGAAATAATGAAAAAATCATATTTACAAGGATAATATTCCTCTTGAATTCATAGTTTTTTGAGAGTAAAGATAAAATTTGTTACAATGATAATTTCCCTCTTGAATTCATAGTTTATTGAGAGTAAAGATATAATTTGTATAAGTGATCAGTTTAGATTTGCAAGGTAAAGAAAAATGCACAATCTTAGCGACATTGGGATGCTCATCGTCCAGGTTCCTTATTGCAAAATGCAATCCAATTGATCATCAGTTTTCTTGTGAGTAACTCCCTGACGAAACTGTGTTATAGATTGTGGTTAAAGAGCCACGCAAACTTACCGTGGCGGGATGGCATGGCTAACCGGGGGAGTCGAAGAAAAGCGCGCACCACTAAGCACTCACACTGGGCCGATGGCGACGGCTCTGATTGGCGGTGGGACACCCGGACCCGGGGCGCACAACAAACGGGACACGAGGGAGGACACACTGAGCCGGGGAACACAAGCCGGGAACACTCGTTGCGTCGTTCCTGCCGGGGCCGGCCCAAAAGACGCCACTCGCCGCGGCTGCGGCTACTCCGGCGGCTGGAAGGGACGCACTGGAAAAAATCCGCCAGCAATGCATGGGCCGAGCCGCCCAGGTTTAAAATAGCGACACACTAAAATTATATGAACGGTGTCTGAAATGAACCTGGCCGACGGCCAAGCACATAGGCCCCCGGCCCATTCCGATAGTACTACGCCAGCCCCGGCTTCGCCACTCCGCCTTCCGCCTCGCCGAGAGCCCCGCGCCCCGCGCCACAACGCCGCCTGGCCGATTATTAACGTCGATAGACAAAGCTATAGACAAAGAAGACGTAGGATGTATGAACTGATTATTGAAATTGATAGACAAAGCTATAGACAAAGGAGACATAAGGAGTGTAGAGCGAGCCTATTGGTTGGAATGGGTGGCTCCTATAGACTAAGGGGGGGGATGATGGAATAACTATCGGGTCTCTCGTGGGTTGCCGTTAGTTAGTCTATTACCTACGTCCTTTGTCCATTGCAACCACCTGCTTCCACTAAGGATCCTTCATATTCTTCTTGTCTTCTTTGTCTATTGCTTTGTCTACAAATTTCAATAATCAGCCTGCTGCAGGCTAATTATTGAAATTGATATACAAAGCTATAGACAAAGAAGAGGTTGGGAATTTGGAGCTATCCTGTTGGTTGAAATGGATGGTTGCGATGGACAATGGAGGTAAGTGATAGACTAAGTAAAGGCAACCGACAAGAGACCCTAAAGTTAGTCCATCATTTCCCCTTAGTCTATAGGAACTACTCATTTCAACCAATAGGATCGCTCCATACTCCCTATGTCTTCTTTGTCTATCGCTTTGTCTATCAATTTGAACAATCAGCCTGCAGAGACAAGAGATCCTCCACCAGTATCTTGGCAACGGTGGGAGCTTTTAATTTCGGGACTTCAACATCCAACTGTTGACCTACCTACTCGGTTGATGGTTAACAATGTGATGGCAGTCTCGTTTTGCAAACTTACCGAAGTTTAGGAAACTTGTTTGGCTCATGGCCACTTGTTGGCCGCGGCTCATCATCCATCAAGTAGGTCGGAGTAGGTCAACAGCCAGAAAAAGAGTGATGACTGTTGCTCCCTCATAATTGTCCATACGGCAGTGTTGAATCTCCAAAAGTAAAAGATTCCACCTGTCGCCAAGATGCCAGTGGAGGGTCTCTTGTCTCTGGTATGGACTACTCCTATTGGTTGAAATGGGTTATTCCTATAGAGATAGACTAAGGGAGGAAATAATGGACTAACCATAGGGTTTCTCGTGGGTACCTTTAGTTAGTCTATTACTTACCTCCTTTGTCCATGATTGCAACCACCCGCTTCGACCAATAGTAGAGTCCCTTTATACTGAGAGTCAAGACAATTCGGCTCATGGATGTCACAAACGGGAATAAAGATTACAGAAATCGAACGTTTTTCGTAATCTTTGATCGGCCCATTCTCGAATTCCTTTCTTCGTTCCTTCCCTCATTCCGTTTGTTCCTTGCCGAACCCGTAATTCCCCGGTCCATTCCAGATTATAATCTTTGCAATCGGTGAAACTGTAATCTTTATTCCCGTTTGTGACACTGTGAAGGCCTAAAATACGGGAACCAATCAGAAATGGATTCAAATTGTCTTGACTCTCAGTATAAAGGGACTCTAACCAATAGGATGCACGCATGGAATACACGCGAATAGAGCAAGGGAAAGGATGTGCGTTGACGACGGCGCAGAGATACGACTATTCGCGCTTGATGGATGCCCGTGCTGCATCTGTAAAATTGAAGGCGCGATAGCGCGAGGAGTAAACTCGCGATGCTCTACTCTGTGGTGTCGCTCAGATTTCAGAGAAAAGTTAAATATGAGGTCCAATTACGTCTCTCCTGTCTTTGGCTGTGTTACTCATATATCCCTTGAAGCAACACGACGAATAAGACAAACACGAACACGAAGAAGCACAATATGGAAATAGAGCAAGGGAAAGGATGCGAGTTGACGACGGCGGAGAGATACAACTATTCGTGCTTATGAGGAATGTCTGTGTTGCATCCTTAAAATTGAAGGCGCGATGAAGCTAGGCGTGAATTCGCTTATGCTCCGCTATATGATGTTAATGAGTCGTCGCTCAGATTCGGGAGAAAAGTTAAAATGAGGTCCAAATACGTCTCTCCTGTTTTCGGCTATGTGTTGATCCTCGATTCTCTTTTATTTCTCGGGTTCATGTCTGATTCTTTCTTAGGATGTATTTCCAGACCCCTATCTACAGCTCGCGTAAACCGCAGCTCTGGTTTGGTTTCTCTGGAAATTAGGGTGCTTGGATGCGTCGATTAGCTTTGATTTTTTCTTTTTTCTTTCATCTCACAAGTCTAAAAGTTGAAATTCAATAACCTTAATACGTTCTTGCAATTTTTACGCCGTGGGATTAATCAACTTTATAAATAGCGAAAATAGCGTAAACTTGTGCTTCGTCGAAATTTTCTGAATCCCATTCCACAAAGGAGGTGCCCTATCGGGGGAAAAAAAATCTCATTGCGTCCTCTGAACTAGCCAAGGTTTTACGCTCTCAGATGTGAGCCAATCCGACCCCGTACATTGCACTTAGATTTTTAAACGGGGTTTTCTCATATATAATGTTTCTATCTGCTAAAAATGGCGAGTACAAATGCGTAGAAAATCAAAGTCATATGAATAGAATTTCAATTTATATGCACAGAATTTCAACTTATATGAATAGAATTTAACTCATATGAGCAGAATTTCTCTATCCAGTTTTCGCCAACTTCTATGACTAGAGATTCCAACTCATATGACTAGAGATTTCAACTCACATGAATTCAGCGTTGAATCTACCGTATCCGATATCTCAGAAACTAGCTGTCACCGCATCAAAAAAATCATAAGAACGAAATGTTTTTATTTTTCTAATTTACATACTATGTCAGTGTCCCCTGGTCAGAAACAACACTTCTGAAAAATGAAAAAAATTGAATTCATATGAGTTGGAGTTTTCTTCTCTTATGAGTAGAATATTCTAGTGGTATGAGTAGAATTTCTTCTCATATAAGTAGGATATCTACTCATATAAGAAGGAAGTTCTACTCATGTGAGTTGGCGAATTCTGAATAGCCTACTTGTCATTTTTAGCAGGGAGGAATCGATTTTTCTATGAATGGGTTTAAAAGAGGCCATGATTTTATTTTGTTATCGTTTTAATTTTTATTTTTTTAAATCCAATTCATTTTAGGTCTCAGTTTATTGAAAAGGATAAAGCACAAAAACATAGCCCGAATATACGAACAAAAGGAGATTTAATTAAAATATGGGTAAACAAGGCTAAAAAATTATCAAAACACTGAAAGGCAGAAATGTCTTGATGTCTTGTGAATATCTTGTCAAAGGACGCCAATTAAAATTGATCAATTTAAATGAGAATAACCCATGCAGAGTGTACAAACATTTCAAAATCATGAGCTGAAAAATGCTGACTCCGCGAGTTTAAATATTGGAACCAGACAGGAGCGGCGTGCTACCAGCGCGTAAAGCGCACTGGTCTTAAAACTTATGTTCCTCCGCTGTGAGAAATATGGGGGGGGGCGAATTTCCACCACTTGAGGTATAGAAAATGAGGCCTCAAGTCCTCAATGATGACTAATTGGTAGAGCTATAACAACTCCCGCTAATATCAAGGATATTCTGATGCAATAGGATGTTCTATCAAACCTGTCCCATGGACTTAGATGATCTTTTCGTTGCTCGTCTGATCACTGAATTTATGAGAGATGGGGAGAAGTAGTCCAAATCAAAACGTGCACGGGTTTTAGGGTGCCACTCCCTTTAATTAGACTAGTCGATGATGAATGATGAAAATACACACAGGATCATACACACAGGGGATACTTCACGCATTGCGCAATGCCTGAAGTATTCACTTAGGTTTGTAGGCGCCAATGCGCTGGCCAGTCGCTCGCCGCGCAGCGTGTCCCGACGATACCGTGTCCGATATCTCAGAATCTAGTCACCGCACCAAAAAAATCATAAGAACAAAGTGTTTTTATTTTTCAAATTTACATGCTATGTCACTGTCTCCTGGGCAGAAACAGCACTTCTGCAAAATGAAAAAAAATTGAATTCATATGAGTTGAACTTTTCTACACTTATGAGTATAATATTCTAGTGATATGAGTAGAATTTCTTCTCATATGAGTAGGATATCTACTCATATAAGAAGGGAGTTCTACTCATGTGAGTTGGCGATTTCTGAATAGCCTACTCGTCATTTTTAGCAGGGGCTCATTGTGCTTAAGTCTTTTTTCGAAATTTCCAACGTAGATAACTGTTCTGCTCAAATGCGTCCAGTTGACCGATCCTCCGGGAAGTAAACTGTATCGAGCCACAAATGTCCTGTGCGTCCACATAAAACCGAGCGCACTCTCATTAATTGTCAAATGACAGGATTTTTTTCTTTTCCCTGGGTTAGTTTTAAATTCCTCGACACGAGGACGAGGCTGTCTCAAATGCACTCTTCAGCTAGAGAAGGGAGAGGGCTGAGAACGACTAAAAGCTTAACTACTCTCGCTAATGACAGTCTCTGAGGGAAAAAAGTTTAGAGAATCCCGCACCAAGAATCACCGCTCAAGTCGCAAAATCTACGCCTTTGTTTAATTAAAAACCCATTGTTGCCGATCTGCTTTTTTCTCGTCTAACTGGGTCTAATTCTGCCGTGCTAAGGAGGAACGCCGTATGAACATTCGAGAGTTATCACATTTCCTTTGATAAAATGTTTATTTTTGAGGAAAGTTATGAGTATTTTCTTTGAGATTTTCAGAAGCTCTAGATAAAATTGCAATCAAATTTACCTGAAAAATTGGAGGGAAAACATTTTTAAGTCTACCAGGAGATTTGTTCTTTATGAAAGGAAATTTGGCAACTCCTGAAGGTTCATACGGCGATTTCCCTGAGCACGGTAGAGTAGTAGGAAAATAATTTCGGGGCGATTAATATCTAAAGTGGCCCAATAGATTTGAGCGATCTCCGACCAAATTTAGGGATGAATGGAACTTTTGTATGCGTAAGAGATTTGCGATCTGGGT